AATGTACTGTTCTTAGTGACTTGTTCAATTGGATATTGAACAAGATAAGCATTGGAAAAATAATATGCTGATATTGCAAGAACAACGATCGACACCGATGTTAAACCACCTACCCACATCTAAATAAAACAGCATAGAATATTAAAACGATTTCTTTCTTTCAACTCTCTCTTAAAATATCACAATACCTCTCCTTCACCAATCAGATCCATTTTTCGAAAGATTCTTTTAGCTTGATCTCTTGTCGAGCTATAACGAGGACAACAAGCTTCCGATATAATTATAGTAATGGCAATAATTGAACCAAGTATCATAAAAAATAATACCCAAGTGATTGGAGATACAACTAAACAATGAATTGATGTTGGATTCATACTAAACATATTTTGCATTAATATATCATCAAAAACAGTATTATCAGATGATTCAGGATAGTCTTGATCTTGTTCAATAGATTCAAATTCTGAATAGGAAATTTGTCCAACAGATCCATATGGACAGTACATATTCTCTGAACAATTCATTGATGATGCTGAATATGAATAACATAATTCAATGCCATAATAATTTCGACCAGTACCAGAATAACAAGGCACACTAGTTGTAGCCCATCCACTTGTATTTGTATTTGGATATTGATTTGGTGGTGCTTGAAGAATACCAAATCCAGCACCCAAAAGAGTTAAAATGCCTATATTACCAGAAGAAGAGCAAGTGACGCGAACAAGTGATGGAACCATATATTGTTGCAGAGGTTGTAGACTATTCGGATAAACATAAATTGGTTGTGTTGAATCTGAAAATCCATCTGATTCAATATCATAAATATGTACCGATGATGAAATCCAGTCATAATTTGTATATGTATAAGTATTGGCTAAGATGACTACTTTATGTCCAGTCGTATCCAACCATGATACACTTTTTCCAAAGCCCATATATCCAACACCATTATCACGAGCACTAGTTAGGTTATAAGTACCATTCAATGAATATAAAAAGACTACATTCAATGATTGAACACCAATCAATACTTGTTTTGTTTCCCAACAAATACTAACTGACATCACTGATTGTGGTGTATAAGCTCGACTATTAGTAATCACACGTAATGAACGAGAATCACTCCATGCATAAGTCACATCAGT